AAAGAGTGTGACTGCTCCAAGGTCACCCAGCGAGTTTCTGTGGCACAAGTGGGGATTTGAACCTGGGTCTCTCAGATACTAGTCCAACACTCTTAACCACTACATCACACTGGCTCTCATTTTCTTAATACATGTCCAGCTCCAGATGCACCAAGCTTGGTTTTTCTGGTGCCACAATCTACACCAGTTATGAGCTGGCCTTGGAGGCACCACCCTGCATCTAGTGAGCTAATGTATACATCCATGATTTTAGCTGTCTGTGGCCCCTGCCACACGGCAGAAAAAAACACAGCCAAAGTGCGGCTTTTGAGGAGCCACATCAAAAGAGACACGCGGCGGCGGGATCACACAGATCCCCTGAGCCGCCGTGCAGTTGCTCCCCGGCACGATCAGATGCCGGGGAGGAAGCCACTGACGGGAGACCGAGGCAGCCGGCTGTGCATGCGTGCACATGCGCAGTTCAGCCAGGAGCCTCAAATGCTCCCGATGACGGATGCGCCGGCGATCCCACAGCTGCGCTTGCTGCAGCGTTTCAGGTAAGTCCTACTCTTTACTTGGTTCCCCCCCCCACAGCACTGGGCTGTAGGGACGGATCGGGGACGGGTGCGCAGCGATTCCCAGATGTTGCGGTGAGATCGCGCCCGTTTGCTGCGCCCCCGATCCGTCCCTCTTCCGGCCCAAAACCTCCCGTGTGACCGGGGCCTGTGTGTCCTATTTTTATCCCACTGGGTGCTCTCCATGGTTCTTTTTTCTGCTACTTTATCCTAACAACAATCCTATGAGGTAAATTAGGTTGTTAAGTGCCCAACTTTACTGAGGGAGTTTTGTGGCTAAGTGGGGATTTGACCCTAGGGCTCCCCAACTGTAGCCTGACATGTTAGCCAGTGTGAAACACGGTTAGTAATTTTTCATCATTCTGCCTCTGCAAGCTCTAGGGAGGGGTGCTAAGCAATACACTGAAATCTTTCCCTTCCACCACTGGAAACCCTACTCATTCCCTCCCCTCACTCTCTTCTAGTTTCATTGTGCATTTCCTAAACGTTTTTGAGGTTAGGGTGGGAATGATCAATACTTCCTTCTCTCTTTAGCACAGTGATGTAGGGCTCTTTTAAGCTATTACTTCAGTGTGAACTTTGAGGTGGTATAGTCCTGTGTGAGGACAATACCGTTTTAATTATGCATGTTTTAATATCCGGCATTATAAAGCAACCTCTTCCAGTGGCCCACTCACCTGCTCTTCTTCTGTACAATAGGAAGGCAACCAACAACAGGAGGAGAACGAGAAGACCCACAGCACTGCTTGCCCATATAACTGTTGTGGATCCTGCTTGGTTAGAAATCGCTGTATAAGCCATAGAAATCTTGCATTAAAGCACCATAAACCTTCTCTTCCCACTCACAAGCTTCCAGGAACAATCCTTTTAATAATTTAGTCATTGCACCTGCTCATCTACCCTGTGCATATTCTCCATCCCTCCGCCCCTGCCTTCTGATGCAGAATCTCTGTTTATCCCACAACACACTATCTGCACACAAAACTGTTTTCCCTGTGCTGTAATCTCATACCAACGGCAAGTATATGCAGAAGAACAAACCCTGTATATAAGGTCAATGGGTTGGTTCCTACCGACCTGATAGTTCTCTCCCTCTCTTCCAGCAGGGTGGCAAAGATCGCATCGTTAGCCCCGTTCCCACCCACATTTGCGAGTGGCCTGGGATTGGGCTGCAGAGCAGCTCCCACCCCCACCTACCACTGCTGTCTGAAGGAGAACTCAGTGATTGCATTGCAGAAATACAAAACCCATCAAGCTGCCAAGTTCTTTATTTGATCATTGCATCTGCTCATCTACCCTGTGTATATTCTCCATCCATCCATCCCTCCGCCCCTGCTTTTTGATGCAGAATCTCTGTTTATCCCACAACACACTATCTGCACACAAAGCTGTTTTCCCTGTGCTGTAATCTCATACCAACGGCAAGTATATGCAGAAGAACAAACCCTGTATATAAGGTCAATGGGTTGGTTCCTACCGACCTGATAGTTCTCTCCCTCTCTTCCAGCAGGGTGGCAAAGATCGCATCGTTAGCCCCGTTCCCACCCACATTTGCGAGTGGCCTGGGATTGGGCTGCAGAGCAGCTCCCACCCCCACCTACCACTGCTGTCTGAAGGAGAACTCAGTGATTGCATTGCAGAAATACAAAACCCATCAAGCTGCCAAGTTCTTTATTTGATACCTGTCTCATCTTCTTTTTAAAAGCAGATTTGTCGCCCTTAGTAATGGTCAGGGCTTTTTTTGTAGAAAAAGCCCAGCAGGAACTCATTAGCACAATAGGCCACACCCAACAGCAGAAACTCATTAGCCTATTAGGCCACACCCCTGACTGCACAGCGCATTAGCATATTAGGCCACACCCCATGCCTTCCCTTGGCTTGCTTGGGCGCCCCACGGCTGCGGGGAGCCCAGGCAAGCCCCCCTTGAAGGGAAGGGAAGGCAAGCCGGCCCTTGGACAAGCCGGGGAGGCATTTAAATGCCTCCCCGATCCTTCCAGGGGCCCCCCTGGCCCGCCCACCTCACAATCGCCAGGGGGGGTCACTCTCCAGGCCTTCCCTCTGTAGCCACCACGCACGCAGAGGTTTTGGCTGTAGTGGGCGTGGCCAGCTCTGAAGCCAGCCGGAACTCCGTTCCTGTGCGTTCCTGCCCAAAAATAGCCCTGGTAATGGTGCAATAATTTGGAAGCTTGTAGGCAATGCCTATTGAAAGCTCAGAAGCAAAAGGGAATAAGGGGGATTTCTGCACCCAGGAGTGTTCCATATGGCTCTTTGCCAAAGTAGAATTAATTATATACAGTTAACAAGTATGAGAACTTTTGAAACTGCCATTCGTCCATCTAGCTCAGTATTTCCTACTTTGACTGCCAGTGTCTCTCCAACCTATGATTCACTCTTCACACTGTGAACCTTGTTGTCAAGAGAATTTGTTGAAATCAGGTTCCAACTATGCAGCCGGCAAACTGAAGAAATTGATGGAAACAACTCCTTTAAGAATCTAGAATGGGCATTTTTGCAAAGGCTTTTTTTGAAAATGCTTTTCAAACGTCACGTGGATTCCTCCTGTCAAGTTGAATGGACTATACGGACCAATATTTATCTTTGAAGGAGGAAACATTATAATCTATGCCTTGTTTATAGTTATATTTACAGTTATAGTATGCACTATTGTGACACCACCAACTTTAAAATTGTAACATAAGAGATTGTAATTGTTAAATAGTGTTTATATATTTTGGCAATCTTTGATGGTGTTTTTCCTAGTGGAATTTGCATGTTTGGTATCTCTGTGACACTAGTTTTCCCAGCTGTTTGGATTTAGTGTCTCTTCAAGGCCTTTTTCAATACCTGCTGAATCAGATACTTTAACTGAATATGTTGGGATTGAACCTGGATGCTTCCATATACAAATGATGTGGTCTACCACTGAGTTACAAGCAGTTCCTCATGAAAACAAAGCTGTTTGTCACACCTATGTAATCTGGTGAAATTGCTGACAGGTCTGTTGAAAAGGCTTGGGTTACATTACAACATTTTAATTTATTTTCCTTTGAACTACAAATTGTTTGTTTTCTATGCTCTCTTCTGCTCACAGTTAACATATCTCAAATACAGCGCTATTTTGGGGCAGGAACGCACAGGAACGGAATTCTGGCTGGCTCCCAAGTTGACCACACCCAGCAGGAACACATTAGCATAATAGGCCACACCCAATAGCAGACACTCATTAGGATTGGCTACATTAGGGGCGTGTGGCCTAACATGCAAAGGAGTTCCTGCTACAAAAAAGCCCTGGGTTTTGCCAACAAACAAAGTAAACAGAATAACAAGCAAAAGGTGGGTGTGGCTGGATAACCACACTTCTGGTAACATGGGGGTGCGGCCTAATGTGGTAATGAGCTGTGCTGTCAGGGGTGTGGACTAATATGCTAATGAGTTCCTGGTGTTGGGTGCGGCCTATTATGCTAATAAGTTCCTGCTGGGCTTTTTCTACAAAAAGAGCCCTGCTCAAATACCTCCACTTTCCAAGAGTGTGCAAGGCAGGGGCCCTGCAATTTTTAAAGGGCTTCCTCTCCGCTCTTTTGGTGCAATGGCACCAGACTGGAGCTCTGCAAGCCTGCCAGATTTAGGCTATACAATTTACAAACGTTTTTTCTCTCTCCCTCTCTTTCTCCTAGTATCTGGATAGTGCGTGAAACGCTTTCCTGATTTCTGCCCGACCATTCTCTGTTGTTGTTGACATGGTTGGGGAGCACTGTGCTTTTTATGGATGCATCGGGCAGAAATTCGTTCCATGTATTGCGGGGCTGAACAAATCCCAAGCACCAGGGTGCCATGGCACCTTTCATCAGTCATTTATTGCAATCCCTCTTGGTGGTTCTCAATAGAAATACAAAGTTTAGTTAATGTTCCCTCTAAGCTGTGGAGTCTTGAGAGCAAAGATTCTACTTTGTGAGCTACTGGCATTAATGTTGTGAGTGAGTGATTTGGCAACTGCCTAAATTAGCTTGCTCTGGAGCCGTCCTTCCTGAGCTAAGACAAAAATGTGTGAGCTGGAAGCTAAAAAAACTGTGAGCTAGCTCACACTAACTCAGCTTAGAGGGAACACTGGCTGAGGACAGAGGGTAACTTTTTGTTGTGAAGTGATGACAGCTACAGTTAACCCATGTTTATTTATACACTACAAGCTTTAGCACATGGACAACTCTGTGAATCCATGTCAACTGTTGAGTTCCGGTTTCTGGCTCAATGCGACCAGACACCTTTTGATTGAGCTCTGTCACAGATAAGTGCTTTTAATGATTTTAATTGGTTTTAAAACTGTTTTTGAGGAGTAAGCAATACCAACTTGTGACTCAGCGAACGCGGAGGCCTGCAAGTTAATTTTATCTTACTTTGTTTTATTTCGTTTTACCTATCTATTCTGTCCCTAAATTTGTTTTACCCTTTTCGAGTATGATAGCTAGCACTACAAGCTTTTTTTTTTAAAAAAAAAAAAAAGACAAGAAACTGAAAAGTTCAGGCTTAGGTTTTTGTGACAGCAGTAATGAGAAAATAGGGTCATTGAAATATAAACTCTTAAGACTGAAAATCAAGTTTGCCTCCTAAAGCCAAAGAAAATTAGTCAGAGCCTGATGTATGGTTTTAGAAAGATGAACACATTGAATTTGTGCCTGGATTTTCTCTGTTGCTGTGGATTCACTGCCTTTTATGGATGCATCAGGAGGAATACCTTTGGAGGGTGCACCTGTAGCACACATTTGGGGAAACTGGAATGGTTGAGTTGCTGGCTAGATGTATCCACTGCCTCCAATGCTGAGGCAAAGTGTGGGTACCTGAAGCTTCATTTCTAAGATGGCATAGTATGGAAGATTGTCCAGCATCTTTATGCCTTATGTGACATGAAACAAGTTCCAACGTAATTACTTTCATGCTTTTGAGGCATAAGCAAATTTGGTTTAAGTGAAGAGTTAAAAACCAATTATTATTTTTTTAATACTAGAATTTTTCATAATGCATTCATGCTGCACAACTTCCCTTGGCATGGTTTTGTAAAAAGAAGAGACAAGACTATTTCCACTACTTTGACATTCCTTCTGTTACCTAAATAAGCATTCAATATATGCCATGGTGGCTCAGAGGTTAAGATGCTGAGCTGCAGACTGGAAGGTCTGTAGGTCAGCAGTTTGAGACCCTAGTGCCGCGAGATGGGGTGAGCTCCCGTTTCTGGCCCCAGCTCCTGCCAACCTAGCAGTTCAAAAGCAAGAAATTGCAAGTAGGTAAACAGGTACCGCTTCAGTGGGAATGTAACAGCGTTCTGTGCACCTTGGCATTCAGCCATGCCAGCCACATGACCACGGAAATGTCTTCCAATGGTGCTGGCTCTTCGGCTTGGAAATGGAGATGAGCACTGCTCCCTAGAGTCAGATCTGACTGGCTTTCGAGCAAGGGAAACCTTTACCTTTAAATGCAAACATTCATCCCCCCCCACCCAAAAATGCTGCACATCTGGTTCCTGTATTTCATTCAGTGTAACCGTGGATGCTCATGTAGGTGTTTTGTTTAGGCAAAATCTCCTTCCTTGTGTAGAGAGGAGAGGCTTGGAATATCTGACAGCCAGGCAGGCTCCTCACCTGTCACAACCAGCTTTACCGGGTTGCTTGGCCTTGACCAGATGAAGGAATTTGTGCTTTGGGAATACTGACAGGTATATTTCCCTGTATTCTCTGATGTTATCCTGAAGAAAGAGAACTTGGTTGTGTTTCTGTCAGGCTCTGCCTTCTGTGATGCTGTCAGGCTTCCCGATTTGTGCAGGGAGAAGTTCAGGCCATTCTGTGGTCCTTGGCACTCGATGGTGACATTTGAGCCTGGTGCAAGTTGTCCCCGGGGTGTCACCTTGATGGAGGGCTGGAGAAGACTGGGATCTGCAGTTAGAAAAACACAATGAATGCATGAATCGCGTTGCTTGGTATTCAGGCACTGTACTCTTATGACTTAGCAGATCCTCTTCTAGTTCAATGCATCTACCAAACTGGATTTTTCTGTGTTAGTACCTGTATAGAAATATTTATTTCTATAGGCTTCATGTCTCCCCTGGAATGTGTCCCTGCTGTGTTGATTTCCTATTGAAATCAGATGGCTGACCATTTGGTCAGAGAAGCTCCATTGCCTGCCATATAACCACGCATTGTTCACACCTCTAAGTGGAAGTCCTAGACTTCAAGGAGCCTGCTCTAAGGTTACAGGGCTCAAGGCACGTACAGCATGGGGGAGTGGTTGGAGTTTGGAGGGGCACATGACCCGGGTGTGTCCTTCAGAGGATCTGACCATTCAGAAGTTGTTCCCATGGTAACTCTACAATTGGGCACTCCCAGGTCTCCTGCAATTGGCCCCTGGCCTGGGCTAATTGGAAGACTGGAATTGCAGTATATCTGGTCATTCCCAATGAGAGGATCTCTCTCTCTCTCTCTGTGTTCCTGGTTGTGAGATCTTGGATGGACACTGAAATGCTCTTGTCCTGCCATGTGGTCTGTGGGAGAACAAAGGATCCCCTTGTGCCTTAGAGCACATGAAGGCAAGGAGGGGATGTTCCTCCTCAAACACCCTTGGGGGTACCTGGACTATCCCAATGGACAATATTGAACTCTTGGACACTACCATGATGTTGGTAAATATGTTTCTTACTGTGTAGTTAAGGCAAAACTTGCCTAGGCTGTTATTTTGAATCCTCCTAGTCTGTGCTAAGCCTGTACTGAATAAACTTTATTCTTGTTTATAAATAGTGTCTGTTTTGATGTGTAACTGGACTTCAAACTAAATCCTGTTGTCTGAACCGCTGACCAATTGTACTACCTGTGTAAGAGTAACTGCACACTCTGGATTGAGTGGCTAATGTGTAAAACCCACATGCCAACTGAGATTCTGGGGATCTCTAATCTCAGGTTGGTGAGGGATTAAGCTGAGAGATTCCTGGTGGCTATTGTGTTTAAATCCAGAGAGCCTATCCCTCTGGATTCTTGTGTAATGCATTGTTCCAGTGTAGAATTCTTTCCCCCATCCCTGGACTGGCCTGGGGGGGCAGAATCTATACAGTACCCTAAGGAGACAAACAAATACAAGCCATGGATTTCAATAGTCCACAAATTCTGCAAGCTGGTTTGAATGCATGAGCAATGCCACATGGACATTTCAGCATGGCATAATGATTACACTATGGCCCCGGTCACACGGGCTGGATAACGTGGGGGTGAGGCACGGCTGTTTGCCCCAGGGCAAAATAAAGTGTGTTAGCCCGATCACACGGTCTCCTGGGTCTTCGCGCTGTGGCAGGAAGCTCGCGGACCAATTGTGCTACCTGTGTAAGATTAACTGTTCAGCTCTAGACAGAGTTGCTAATGTGTAAAACCCACATGCCAACTGAGATTCTGGGGATCTCTAATCTCAGGTTGGTGAGGGATTAAGCTGAGAGATTCCTGGTGGCTATTGTGTTTAAATCCAGAGAGCCTATCCCTCTGGATTCTTGTGTAATGCATTGTTCCAGTGTAGAATTCTTTCCCCCATCCCTGGACTGGCCTGGGGGGGCAGAATCTATACAGTACCCTAAGGAGACAAACAAATACAAGCCATGGATTTCAATAGTCCACAAATTCTGCAAGCTGGTTTGAATGCATGAGCAATGCCACATGGACATTTCAGCATGGCATAATGATTACACTATGGCCCCGGTCACACGGGCTGGATAACGTGGGGGTGAGGCACGGCTGTTTGCCCCAGGGCAAAATAAAGTGTGTTAGCCCGATCACACGGTCTCCTGGGTCTTCGCGCTGTGGCAGGAAGCTCGCGATCATACGACGATGCTGGAGCTGGCACAGAAACTGTGTGGGAAGTGTTCCATGTTTGTGCGCATGTGCAGTTCCATGGAGCAGCATTGCTTCCAGTTTGGTGTTCGTGTGCATGCACTTAGGGAAACCATCTGGTTTGCGACGGGACTCGGACAGGCGCCGGAAGCCGCGGGATACTGGCGCTCCCGCGATCAGACGCCCGCCCCTGCTGCGCTTTTTCCGGATACTACCGCAGCTCCCTAGGTAGTTTTTTTACTGCGCACTATCGCCAGGATGCCACAGGTTGGCTACGAGTGCGCTACACTTCCCAGATGTTGCGGTGTGATCGCACACTGATAATCCGCCTGCCATTCGTGCCTTTACCGTGGCAAATCCTCCGTGTGAACAGGGCTTATATTAGGCTAAAACTGCAGAGACTCCAGTTCCATACCCATCTCAGCCACAAAGTTTAATGGGTGACTTTGGACTAGGCAGTCTCAACTACTTCCCGGGATTGTTGTAGGTGAAAATGGAGAAGGGCCCAACCTTGTGCTGTGCTCCTTAGAGGAAAGCCGGGATAAAAATATGATCGATGTTTTGGTTATACTGGAATCTAGATTAGTTGTAAACTCTATTGTATTTGTGCATGGGTTCCTCCAAAGATTAGATTTGCTCAAGAAGCCATGTAAGTTTCTCATAGGCAGGGCAGAAAAAGGAATGTGTACGCTTTTCTGGGGCCCCAAGAATATCCACAAGGGTTCAGCCCAGATAACGCCTTCACCGTGACAGGATTGGATTATCCCTTTCCAGAAATAAAAAAACTTTCTTTCATGTCCCATGAGGTTGTATGTATGAGAAGGAGTTGTTTGTGTGAGGGGACCTGTGTTACAAGCTTCTTTCAGGCCTAGAGAAATGAACATGCTCTTCCACTTGCAAACTGTTTCATTGCAGGGTAAATAATTTGAGAGGCAGCTGCGGCATTTAGGAGTGTAAACATAAACAGGTGCGTGGAAGGCGGTCATTGAGATAGTGTTCTGCTCAGTGTTATTTGTTAGCAGGGCTTTTTTTGTAGAAAAAGCCCAGCAGGAACTCATTAGCATAATAGGCCACACCCAACAGCAGAGACTCATTAGCATATGAGGCCACACCCCCATGCCTTGCCTGGGCTAGCCGGCCCTTGGACAGGTCAGGGTAGGCACGGGGAGGCATTTAAATGCCTCCCTGATCTTTCCAGGGCCCCCCTGGCCGGCCGGCCTCGGAGTCGCTGGGGGGGTGCCGCTCTCCAGGCCTTCCCTCTGTAGCCACACACGCGGAGGTTTTGGCTGTAGTGGGCGTGGCCAACTCTGAAGCCAGCCGGTACTCTGTTCCTGTGCGTTCCTGCCCAAAAATAGCCCTGTTTGTTAGAATATGCAAAGTCTACAGTGCAGCCTTATTAAGAAGATCTGAAGATCATCCTACAGGCAGACAAACTGAAGGACTTGTCGTTAGTATAGCTAGTCTAGAGACATCCCACTTTTTCAAATTCTGTCCTTGCTGTCTCCTGATTGGCTCTTCTGGAGACTTCCTGCTCTTATAGAATTTCCTGCTGCTCTTGTTGTTCCTCCTTCAGCAGTTAAGCTAGATAGTTAAGATTCTCTCTCTTCTATGTTCTATAACAGCTTGTTCCTCTTTAATAAACCTCCTTATATTTCTCTAAACAGTCAGTGCTACAGTTCCTGTGCACATTTAAACTCTGCCGACATTATTATCCTCTTTTTCTCCCTGGTATCCTCCTAATCCTTGATGCCCTGCCTGTGTGATAACAAGTGAACATGGGAAAAGATGTCATTCACTCGTGTTATAGATTCCCAGGCTGCAGCATGGGTTTGAACTATCAGACATTAGAATTCAAAATATGTGTCTATCTTGGTTTAGGTGAACAATTGCTGATGGATTGCAAGCATCAGTGTCTGCCGTTGCCCCCAAATTACTGAACATTCCAACCTCATTTATGTTGGAAATATGTGTGTTGCAAGGTCTAAATTCAGTCATTATAGGGCAAATGTGGTTACCTCGTGTGCTATTGTTTAGACTGACCTGGAAGGTAACTTGGCACAAAACCAATGGGGAGAAAGCCTGGAAACTGGAGCCTATTTACTAACAATCATTGGTTAATGTATTCAGGCGATTTCCTTCTAGGGTGAAGAAGAAGAAAGAAGAACCTCCATTACCAACCGTGTGGTCAGTCAGTCTGTTGTTGTACTTGTAACAATAAGGATGTAGTCTTAAGTGTTTGTTGTTTTGTAGATTTCCTGTGTACCTTTCCCTTTAGAAATAAAGATTTTTACATAGAAAGAATATGCCTCCTCTCCAGTGAACAAAGATCCATTGCAAGCTCTGAATATCTGACTACTTTTACCAAATATTACAACAATTTATGAGTGGGATTGGAAGTGGGAAGGAATGCCAAATTACCTCTCAAAAGCAAATCCATGGGGTCACTTGGCTCAGACAAGACAAATGGATTTCCTTTGTGGTGATATTGGCAGACGTAGCTCCCAGCATCCTCTTGCCTCACCACAGAGAGAAAGAATTTAGCTTTGTTTCCATCTGGCTTTGTTTTCCGTGATGCAATCAAGTTCTTTGGCAGGTGCAGGGAGTAGTTCAGACCATTCTCTGGGCCTCGGCACTCAATGGTAACATTCAAGCCCAGGTCAAGCTGCCCCCTGGGTCTTGCCCTGATGAAGGGTTTGGAAAGGCTTGGATCTAGGGATTGAAAAACTGTGGTGAGTCTCTAAGCACAATAAAGCTTGGTATTCAACCAGTGTGTCCTACTAAATCCAGTCACAAATTACATCTCTTAGTCTGGATGCTAATGACATTCAAGTCTGGTGTGAAGTGGGACACAGGCAAAGTAGTATGACCCACAAAATTCAGTGTCCTCCTGAACATCAAGTATCACAACAACAAAGTTCTACCCCTTATGGGTGAGGACACTTTGACTGTTGTGGATAATGCCATCTCAGAAACCGAAGGAGAGGCTGAACCAGATTTCCAGTGGCAAAGACTTTTGTGTTCAACTACCCCCTCCCCCCATCACTGCTGGCAAAAGTAAAATAAATTACACATAGTAAGACCTGTACAGATGTTCATAAGCTATATGGGTTGTACAATTTAGTTTTTCTTGTGCAACCCTGGTGATATCCTTGTCTTAAATAGGAAGCACAGCCCCTATCTAAGATAGATGCCAACTCTATCTTTGTTGGGCAGATGTACCAAAGGAGATTTTGACAGAATGGAAGTCAGGCCTTCGTCTGTAGTACTCTGGGAAAACTTTGGCAAAAGTGGGGAGTGAAGCATTCCCAGGCACCATCAATCCAATGAAGCTCTCAAAAGATCCAACAGGACCTTAGGCACAAGGATGAAGAAATATGCAGACACTCGTTTTTTACGGTGTTTCCTTTACTTACAAATTACAAGCAGAGCATAGATAGGAGCAAAGACAGCAGATCCATTATCTTGCTTCGGATTCCCCCGCAGGAGCACTTTAAGCCAAATCACAGCCCCCTCTGCCCCTTCCTTCTGGACCACGACCGTCCACCTTCCAAGCTTCAGTTTGCCACACACATGCACCTGTTATCTTCTCCAAGCACTGATGGACAATCCACAGAGAGATGCCCCACTATCAGGGAGCTCCTTCCTAAACAGTGGCTCACATTGACAGAAACCAACTGAGCATTCAGGGCTGTTATCCTAACAAAGGAA